TGAACAACTCGAAAAACTGGAGGATGCAATTGAAGATAAGCGGCCGGCATTATCAAATCGGCGGAAGGGTGTTGTTTTCCACACATGTTTGGTTACTCGGCAAAAATGATTGGAACTGGGTTGGGATGTTTTGTCACACCCACCATATAGCCCTGACCTTGCGCCTTCGGATTATCATTTGTTTCGTCCCATGCAAAACTCTTTAAATGGTAAAATGTTTAACAACGCGGATGATGTCGGATCACACCTAATTAAGTTTTTTAATATCAAAGACCAGACATTTTACGAACGGGGAATTTTTACTCTGCCAGAATGATGGAAAAGGTCATCGACAAGAACGGCCAATATCTAATTGAATAAAGTTATATTTTTAAACAAAAATTCCGAATTTGCCTTCTTATTTGAAATCGGCAATGACTTAGTTGCCCACTTAATAGATGTTATATAATTAGTTGTACTTATGATATTTCAATATTTGCCATAAAGTTTACGTTAAAATTTCCCATAATGTCAGAATGTTGAAAGGATTTCAGTTATAGGAAATGATTTAAAGTTCGTTATATATCAAATAGCGAAGTATTCTGAAATTCAGCATTTATCCAACAGTACCTTTTTACTATTAATCATTGAGCTAGAATATTTTGTAAGGACTCTCATAATGTTAACGCAGTTAGCTAATTAAGCAAATTATAACTATCACTTGTGTTCTCGGGTGAAATCAGACATCCACTTTTGTGCTCACTGTGATCACCTGCCAAGTTCCTAAAAGGAGTCTCCAATTTCCTGCTGTCATGACTATTAGGATCATGAACTAAGAGCCACAAACATCTTAGTACACCTCATTGGGTTCCAAATGAACCATATGTGCCTAGTTTGGAAGTATACACTTCTTCTATCTTACTTTCGTGATTCCTAGTCTTTTCCACATTACCACTGCTTACAATAACCTTGCACTCTTTCATGTTCCTGTTGTCGTTGTGAAGTTTCATTGTAGACGGATGATATTGTCGGAGGTATAACTTTGAAGAAATTATTTGACTTAACTGCTACTCGATACCTAAGAATTTCTAACCTTCTCGTCCAATCTTTGCTACACCCGCCAATCCTTATCTTTGATTCCAACAAAAGGCTTCATGTTCTTAAAAAGCGAACAGGTTTCGTTGAGCAACCTAAATGGTTGCCTTTAGAGCTCAAAGCCACTAAATGAGAACCAAAGTATTAGGAATTTATTGCCTTCCGCAAAAGCCGAACTAAACAGCTACTAATGCATAATTTAAATAAGTCCTTTCGGCTTTTTAGCCTTAAACCTACGAACAACATGATACAGAAGCTATGTAATATATGCGCCCTATAGCTCCTATCTACTCAGGCTTAGCTTTCAGAGAGTAGCTCACGAAAGTGATGAAACTAGACAGTCTCTTTAAGTGTAATTTATTTGCCCTTTATACACGGGGTGCGCAATGGACTTGCCTCCATGTGGTGCACCCTAGGCAACGTATTCTCATACGGCAAAAAAGTCTACTAACCGCAAGTTGACTTCCCACTTCAAACTACCATGACCCCACTGAATGTCAAATTCAACCACTTCAACAGTACTCATTTTACCTTTTCTCTGCCTTTGTGTCTGTTTGCCTCTATTACATCTGTGAGTCATTATTCTGTCCCCCCTCTCGACGTTTCGTCACTTTGATGTTCCTCCTCATCTCTGTGAAGCCCCGAATTCAGCTGAAGGGCTAATGATAACTATCAAAACGCCTGCCATTTGATATAAATAAATAAATATTTGTGCATTATAGGAAAGGATGTGGGATTCTAGTAGAATGAACAAAATTTGTTCATATTTCATTAAATCTAATAGACTAAAAGGTTGGCTTCTGATACCCTAGGGAGGCATACATATTCTGTTTCAAATGAATTGAGTGACAGTGAGCAATTCATATGCCATATTTTTTCTAAATCAAACTGGTGTAAACTGTCAAGAAAAAAGTGAATACGACCCCATTACCGCTATCGATTATCCTTTTACCGGCGGCCCACATGATAAGCAAAATGGCATTTATATTACAGATATTTTTAATCCACACAGACTGTCATTGTCAGTTATCAACTCCAATTAAGTCAAACAAATTCCTTAGATACCTATATTTTCCACCCCTCCCCCAACCGTCCTTTTCTTATTTCGAATTATTGAAAGAGATAGTTAGAACTTCTGTGATTTAGCTATCACCACACCCTTGATTTTAGTGTGGAAGTGAATATTGCTAATGCGTTAGTTAATACTTTCGTTTTAAAAAAAACCGTAACAATTGAGACATTATCCTTTTCATTTGACATATCTGTCTTCTGAGCACTATGCAAGAATTCTATAAACAGTGATCATTTAAAAAATCTGGTCATTCAATAGTTAGTAAAGTCATCACATTGCACTAAAAGAAAACTTTTAGCGCGGGTAAATATGCCTCCCGTATTGCTCATAAGTAGCTCCATCTGAAATCGTCATGAAATGGAACACTGACATAAAAGTGAGTGATCAAATTCCAGAATCTAAGAAGTAATGCAAACACAGGTGAAAAGAAAACTTCAAGTCCTCAAATAAATGAATCATTTCATTGCCCCGTAGTATTGTTTCTGCTGTTTGGATTCTTCAATAAAAATCTTTGAAGTTGCATTAAAAAGTAGTAATCCTCAACTACCAATTGCAATAAATCAGCATTTTTCCGAAAGTTTCATATTTAAAACATAATTAACTGCTATAAGTTGATGTTTGAATTGATAACGATATAAGTGTCATCATGGAGTAAGAATGTTCCAAGATTATTTATCATTTTGACGCAAAAGATTGCCCTATGAAAGCTGGCAAAAATAGCTATTTTGCTATTAAAAACAATGATGGATATTTTATTTCAAAATTCACTGAATAAGGGATAGCACGCTGACCGTTACTAACTAACTAACTAAACTTTAATTATTAAATCTATTGTTACAGCTTCCGATCTGCCGCATACATGGCTTAGTTCTGTTCTCAATAGCTGTGATTTAATTCTGAATAGTTTATCGATTTTTCAAAGTCATCTACTCCCTGATAATTAATTCACAAAATCTTCTCTTTAAATTTTACTTTTCACTTTACTGAGGCAATTTGCAGTCGAAAATCCAACATCATCACCAAAAATGGAAAAATCAAACTCACCCTTACTTTTAAATATTGTAATTGACTGGAAAGGGGTGAATTTCAGCATGCTCAATTCAATTCGCAATCTCAGAAAAGATTTTATTCTGACGTCAGTAAGTGGGAATTGTAAGCTAAAGTGCTTTTAAATGCAATATTAAAGTTGAATAATTGAAGCTATTATCTACTTGGTATTTCAAATCTCAAAGACAATCAATTACGAAATCTAAAGTCGGTTACAATTGGCAGTCTAACATTCTTCACTCATCCGGCTTATTTAATCTTGAATTCGCAATTTTATTCCCAACTTATCCTGAATGCTAACACAAATTTTCCTAAGTGCATTTGAGTTCGACTTCGATTCAGGATAGATGAAGATAAATTTTAAGAATACAAATTTGATATATATGTATATAGCTAGTCATATGCTACTAAAATGAATATAAGTAGTCAAAAAGAGCAAAAAGAGGAGAATGAGGATGAAAATTAAAGAAAACGATAGACATTGTAATGAGAATAGAAAGCCGTCGAACTACTTATTTGAAAACGCCAAGAAAAAAAAACAATTTTAAAGTATTTTATTTCCGTTTGCAATATAACCTTGAATATATTAACTGAGCCATTTTGTTTTCCATCGGGAGCGAATTGTATGTAATTAGGAAAAAGAGAGGCAAAATTCGGAGCAAAATAGAAAAAAATAAGCGGCATAAAATATTTGGTTTTATTCAGAAAAATAATGCAAGGAAGCTTTGAAATTTATAATCTACTTTAGTTAATAATTATGCTGTATCGCGCTGAAAACGAAAGGATCCAATGAAACTTTGATGAATTGTATCGTGTTGAATAAAATTAATTGAGTATTTTGTTCCATTTATTTCTGAGGGATATTTGAATCAATATATTCAGGAGAAAAACAAAATTTTTCCGTATTTTTATTTCATAATAGTGTCAAATGTTGGTCTGGAATATGATTCTTGCTTACCGTATTATGCATACAATTGATACCAAGTAAAATCTCAAAATCACATTTATAACAAAAATCCCCATCTTTTATATTTTAATCAAATTCATGGAAGACGAAAATTCAACAAAAAAATAAATCACAATTTTTCACTTTAATCTAAAAAAATATTGTTCATTGCATTGTGAACGCCTACCATAATGCATCGGAAATACCCTAATTTGAGTTTTTGCCTGAACTAATTGCATTTTTCAAGGACTATAATGAATACCTATTGATTTACAATAAAGCAGGCAGAATAGGGACAGCGTTGTTATCTAAATTAGTGAAGAATTAAATTGATTTCTCATTTAGTTTTCAGCTTCGTTTTCTCATAAATGGACGTCAAGCTAGTTTCCACGCCTTCTTTACGTTCAAATAACACATTGAATGAAAAGCGTGAAAAATGGCTATTGTATGTGGTAAATTCTCATAAATGCAAGACTTTTACTTATCCTTACCCGATCCAACGGGGAAATCAACAATATACTTCGTGGGAACTCCAGAGAAACTGGTCGAAGGTATCGATAGGTAGGTATCTCCCCTATTATCACAAGTAATCACCGGTGCTGGTCCAGATATATTTGAATTATGATAGACCACTTGTCGGGCTGGAGATGTGGCGTAAAGACAATTATTCGCTTGCTGTGGGTCTCCACGGAACATTGATGGTGGAAGGGTATCGTCAGAAAAGTCGGAACCGCTGCTTTTCACAGGTTGTAGGTGGATCTAGAATTAGAATTGCATTGCTTATATATTAGTGAATCATCCAAAATAAGTAGTACGTGTGGATGACTTACATTTTTTCCATCCAAGGCACCTTTCGATCCAGTTGAAGCTTTTAACCAGTATACCGGAGAAGAACGTTTACCTAGAGTTTCATTTGCCAAATTTTCATCCATCTTCCCACCATCACCCCAGCTACCCGAGGAACCAATGTTTATAGCCCTTGGGGTACTCTCAATAAACACGTTTTTCAAGTGTCCTTGACCACCTGGACTCATTCTATGACCTCCACGCCTAGTAGATGCGAGTAGGCTACGTCTCCTCATCCATGCAAGAATAATGAAGAGAATGAGAACAAGCATTGTGGCGATTGCTGAGAGACAAATGATTAAAATGAGAGTGTGCTCTCCACCGAAGATGCTTCCACCGATTCCTGAATCAATCCATTCTGGGTGTGATTCAGTTGGAGGTCGACGGGCATCCGTGTAAGGGAGTTGTTGATCGCGCTGATTGCGACTGGGTTTGAAGTTCTGGTTTGGTCCCTTCACGGGCGTATGATCAATTGGCTTTTTACCTGAAGGAAAAACTGATGGGCTTGGAGGTGGACGAGAAGCATCAAGAATCACAGTTATATAGGTGAAGCTAGACAAGGATGGCGATCCGTCATCTCGAACCTTTGGGAAGAGAAAAGCAAACAGTATTTATATAGTGTAAGACTCGGTGTTAATGAACTAAGGGTTATACTGTTAGAATTACCCTTCGGTAATTGCTATGATTGCGTAATTATTAAAACTTGGATTTGCTTTGATGAAGAAATGTATGTGTGCGTGGAGGCATTAGCTTTCACCTCAATATGGGAAAGCCCATCTACGTGAGAAAATATTAATTGGAAATAGAAAATTGTTACCCCCTATTTACACCCTCGAGCCCCGCCCACTCGTCTGAAGAGAAATTAAGATGCTTAGTTTGGTTTAGGTGTTGTGGATATTAAGCGATTTGCTTAAATGATGCTTTATCTTTGCTTTCTTTTTACTTGAAATTATGTGAAATGCTTATTCAGTAGTTGAATTGAGATTCAAGCATTATTACATGGTCGTTTGAAAATATGTAATTCACTTATTCTGCCTTTTTAAGCTAAGTAGAACAGGTGCTTTATACCATAGAAAAATTGATACATAACTTACAGACTGATAGATTTCAAACACAAGACAAAGTGGCATAGATGAAAAAGACAGCTTAATAAATAAACAAATTGAAATAGCATTTATACAAAGGCAAAGAATAAAGTGTGGAGTGCGCAACCTTAGGAAGACTAGACAATGCAATCTCGTGCGCACTCAAATATCCTGGAAGGTGATGTTAAAAGCGTTATTGAGAAAATGGGATCATGAGTGCAGAGACCTCACAGCCAATCAAAATTTCATAGCCGTTGGAGGTTCAGTGTATCTAAAGCCGTAGTTTCTAAGCTCATTCCAAGTGACACAATAGTCGCCATCTCAATAGATGTACTGGAGTAAGTTCTGTTTCCTCGATATTGTTAAAGAGGCTTACCAACTTTGAGAAAAATTTCATACAAGGGAATCACACCAAAGAGATTGATGTATTTGCATCAAATGGCAGGCGTTTTGATGGCTATTATTAGCCCTATAGTTGATTTGGGACTTTACAGAGGGGAAGGAACATCAAAAAGGGAAAAGTCTAGATGGGGAAACGGAAAAACGATTCACAGATGCAAAAGAGACAGACACAAAGGTAGAGAAAAGGTAAGGTGAGTACTGTAGAAGTGGTCGACTATGACATACAATCGGATCATGGTGGTTAGAAGTCAGAAGTCAGCTGTCAGCTAATAGACTTTTTGCCGTATGAGTATACGTTGCCCAGGGTGCACCAAGTGGACCCAGGAGATAGATGTGATTTTGTTAGGACTTATTCATGTAGCATTCTGTTACAAAAGTCACAAAATTCATTTTCATCGGTGTATAAATCCAGTGTTGTTGAATTGGTTCTAATCTAGATCAATATTTGTTTATTTTTATTCGCTGATCTTCCAATTAATTTCATAGAGAATAACTCATTAGGTTAATTACTATTTTTTTGGATTTTTTCAAAATAAATGTCACCCCTTTTATAATTGAATAAGTTTAGGACTGAAATATAGACAGTCTCTAATGTTGTTTATTTGTTTGATTTTCTGCAAAATGCAAATATGGAGAAAATATTACCATTTATTTTAGCTACTTGGCTTGACTACCAGCGAAACACGACTGAACAAAACAAAATTAGTCTTTGTGGTTTGTTGTCTGGTTAATGTTATTGGTTAAGGAATATATTCGGTATATGACAAGCGACCCAGGGTAACAAATTAACATTCTAATCTTGAGATGATAAACATGCGCAAGACTGTAAAAGTAAGAACACAGATAGGCCAATATAATCGCCTATTGGAAAGATATTTAATAATTGGCTTATGGAGTATTTCCCAACTTTTATATAATTAGGACGTTGTGATAAAAATCCTTTGTACCTTTCAACTTCCAAAAGGCTAGCCCATAAGGCTGAGAGTGTTACGACGTATATGTTTATGTCGGCACTCTCCGACATAGCCGAATGGCCAAGATTCGAAGCTGTTGCTGAGTTTAGACTACATATCGGACACGATTGCTTGGCAAAACACCTTTACAGATTGGGAGTATACACTCAACCCACATGCCCCCTATGTAACCTACAGGAGGAAGTGGAGAAGACCCACCTGATTCGGTGTCCAGCCCTAAAGACAACGACGGAAACCCAGAGATACTGGGAAGCCAGAAGACAACTAATGAACTGCTATATATGTCCCCCCCCCCCGGTGGAGAAAGCTGAAGTAAGCTAAGGGGCTATTGATAAATATCATAAAGCCTGCCATTTGATATAAATATTTCAACATGCAGTCAAGTGCAAGCGATTCCCACTTTATAAATGGCCTCTTGGTAAGAAGGTGACTCTTTTATCAATAGAAAATATTTGGGCTCAATTGTGTTTCTAGTTAACTTGTTAAATAGTCTCGTTAAGACGAGAAAATATAGCTAAGTGGGATATTAAATTTCGAAATATTATTTGAGAAACGACATTTATAGCAATTGGCATGTAGTGCTTCACGAAAACCGCAAGTTTTCTTCGTCAACTCCTTCAAGGAAACTTGTAAAACTAAGTTAGTGCTAACAAAAACCCAAAATAAAGCTTTGCTCAATCTGTAATTGAATTTTGGCACCCCGTATTTAGCACTCTTCTTTGGCAAATTAATTCGATTTTTTGTGGAAAAATTCAATCTTCCTTAATCGCATATGTAATATCTGCCGTGAATTCAAATGCAAATTGATTTAATTAACATTTTGTGTTCTTTATACTCCCATTGAGTTAACACTCAATATAGACTTCCTGATAGAACAGAAGAAATTTACCTAAAATTTCCCTTCTTTAAGACATCCACGCTTCCTCTACCGTGTCAATTCAACAGAGAGCGTTTTCCGTCTTTTTTGACACAGTAAAATGGTCATGAAAGAGAAGAACAGCCCTTTCTCCCCTCCCTCCCTCCCATGGAGATCAAACAGTGTTTATATGTGGATCAAATATTCGTTCTAGCCTCCTCTACGTTTATATTTTCTTTCTACTTTCTGGGAGTCGAATCAGAGCATGGAGTTGCCATCGGTAGCTGTCATAAGCGATTCTGAAACTTGTAGCTACATTGGTGACTGTTAATCAAATATACGTTTGCGTGGAGTGAACGATTTTATGAGTTGCGTGTGAAGAGCGCCAGAGGGCAAGCCATGGCGCTGGATTCCACGGAATGGAAAATTTATTGCTGAGAGAATCATAACGTGGAATCGAACGCACGTAAATCGAGTTTGCCAGTGTCGCGCATGAAGAGCAAGTTTGTATTTTTAGAATAACATCCCGACGTAAGAACACCAGTGACTGACTGTTGGGCAAACAAGTGTTCGTAAGCATTTGAATGTTTCGGCTCTGTTACAAAAATTTCAAATGAGAAAAATGCTCGAATCCACCCGAATTCGATTGGTCGAGAAGGATTGGATAAGTTGAAAAAGGTGAAAATACCTGCAAGATTAATCAGACTACTACGATAAGAGAATCGAATTAAAAACAGAAGAAAAGATTCAAATGCATTGAATCCGTTCCTGATGTTAACCATGAATTGGAACTAATGCCAAGAATGGGGGAGTCTGCTGGAGTGATGCTTGAAGTCAACCAATATTCAAGAGGACTCGGCAAAGAAGCAAATGCGAGCGAATAATTACAGCGCAGTTACTTCCTCTCTCTCGCTCTCTCGAGTTGACCAAACAAACATAATTGTTGAAAGATAAGGAAATAGGAAACATGAATGACGAAAAGGGGAAAGAGTGGGGGGGGGGAGGAGAGAGAGTTGGTTTATCCATCACTAAGAAGAGAAAGAACAAAAAACGTGGTTGAGGAGGGAAGTGTGCTGAACAGTCGCTGACAGGAAATTGCGCTAATGGCGAAATATCTCGTGGGGGATTAGTACGATGCGCAGAACAAGGAAAATGGATTGGTGGTAATTAATTTGAAACTAACAGTTTGGAAGAGACCCTTAGTGAAAATGAAATTAAATTGCTGTTTTTTTAAATATCGTTCCAGTCTGCGCAACTAAATTTATGCAGAACGTAAACTTTTGCATTGAAGCTAATTGTTTATATTGTTGGATATCACAAAAGATACGCTAACCACTTCTTGCCTATTCAAGAGGTGGGTAGCTAATTCCTATTTTATTTCCAATTGCCACCTTAAACATTCTCTTTCATGAAAAAATATTATGCTGTGCTTTAAATTAGCATGGATGAGCAGCAAAAAACGTAACATATGAACGAGTATTAAGCATGTTTTGGCCGAAAAATCCTTAAAAACGTTTTTTAAGGTGATAAAATAACCCATAAGAAGTTTGAAGCAGAATTGAAGACTTCCAGGCAGAACTTCTCAATTTTCTTAGTTATCAATTATAAGATACATTCAGTCTTGCAAGATTAGTCTATATAACCCCCAAGTAATAGAATACATAACAGTAATGACGGGAACATTTTTAGAAAAAGTTTTTCACTATTCGTCTTGGGTGAAGCAAACACACCCTGAAGTTCCTCTATTGATAAATTCCCCCATCTTTAAAATGCACTCAGGATCAATATCACTAATAGTAGTTGGTCATACTTCTCACTGAATGTGACTCGTGGCTTTTAATACCTATCAGTGCTCTTGAAAATTAACTCATTGCATTCAAGCACCAATGATTGCTTTGATAAAAGCAAAAAAAGTATTATACATTATTTAAATCTGACCTCTAATTTGAGATTGTATCGACCAGCAACTTTCAGTGGGTCAAGACCGGGTTTGAGACTCAGGTCACCAGTTTGTATGTCTAGTTGAAAGATACCCTTCTCATTTCCTTCTGCGATAAGGAAGATTTTCTCCGCGTTGACGCCCGCGTCATTGTCTACTGCTGTCAGTTTCAGGAGAGGGCTTCCCTGAAATAATTAAAAAAATAATATCACATAGTTATATTCGTCAGGAATAAGAGGTTCTCATCTCCGCTGGACATGATTTTCAAAGAGCGCAATGTCAGTCAAATCTCCCATACTACCTTAATTTGTCCTCTCTATCTCTACTCTGTTTTCACACACTCAGAACAGACGCATCTATTCTCTCCTCCAAGTCTCAATTTCAATTCCAATTCTCACTGTTTCCTCTTTAGTTCGCCTTCTTAACAGTAGTCTAATACACCCGTGGTCCTATCCAGCTCTAAATCTCCTCGATATTTGCGAGATTTTTGTTGTTCTTTAAGAATATCATTAGTATACACTGAAATATCTAAAGATCCAATTATGTCAGACTCCGAAAGATCAGCCTTGCCATCAGAACTTATATTACGTTAGATGCTTTAATTGCCTTGATTCTTGAGTATACAATAGTTTTAACAAAAAACAGTAAAAGCTTTTCATTGTTTCGAGATTCTAAAGCTACCCCCCCCCCCACACCCCCCCCAAACCAATCTTCCTAAGTAACCTTATTGAAAATTACGCTCAACTTTCCCTTTCTTTTAATTACCGATAACATCATAACGTTGTAGAAAGGGGAAATTGTTCTTTTTTATCCATTGCTTTCCTCCTTTAATTTAACAAAGAGGGAGGGAAAAGGGCGACTTGAGAAGTGAAATCGAGAGAGGGAGAGAGAGAGAGGAAACGCGCGCATCATCTTAATTAAAATGAATTTTTCGCTCTAAGGCTTTTAATTTTTCAAATTTACGTGGCGGTTGATTCAAGTGGGTTAGAATTCATTCAAGCATTATTGTCTTATTATCTTTCCCTTCGAGTATAAATCTCTTTTCAATCAGTTGTGATTAAATCAAATTATTTTTTTCCTTACCTATATGCATTCATACTTTTAAAGTTACAAATTTTCTTTCAGATTCTATTTGAAAAAAAGAAAGAATTATTATTATTTTGAAGACAATGATGAGTTAACAAAAGATCTGCAGAAAAATTTTGACAGCATGAAAATTTAATTATTGATCAATGTGATTGGTTAGCTGGTCAATTTGTGATGCTTTTAGCGTGAAAGCATTTAAATAATTAAATAATCCAATCGGAGTCAAAGAATAGAAATTTATGTAAAAGTTGGCATAAAAGAGAGGTGTGCAAGGAGAAGAGCTTCATTTGGTTTTGGCTTTTAAGTGGTATACTTTATAGTTAATGGGTGAAGGTCATAATTTTACGTCCTACTCTTGCAGAATTCAAAGTTAGGCTTTGTTCATCAGAGCTTACGGATTAATTTATTAATTTGGATGGTTAATCAAACCATTTTTAAATAACGTTATCTTTGAATTAATGGAATAGCAGGAGAATGACACAAAAGACAATCGACAAAACTGCGCTTACTACTTACGGGAGTATTCCAAGGCGAGAAGTGAATAGTATGATTCATTTGAGTTGGATAGACGAATTTCGGTGGATTATCGTTAATATCCAGGACTTGAATATTTACTCGACAATACGCCGTCTGTCGTGGTGATCCTTTGTCAATGGAGTATATCTAAAACAAATATGATAGTGTGATTTAATTATAGAAATTTAGGCACTTACTATGCATAGATCCTGCATTTATATTAGTGTGGCTACAAGATTAAAATTTCTAGCATTCAATTTTCAACCCAGTCTGATTAGTCTAGGTGCCTTTGCGCGTACACTTTAAATGAAAATATTAAATTGTGAATATTTTTATTGATCATAGTGATTTTTTTGCGGATCCGGATTATGATCAGCGTTCAGAATTGATAAAATAGTTTTAAGTATTTTAAACTGATGAATTAAAAGACAGTGAAATATACTTTTTAAATCTCTTAAATTCAGTTCTATACCTTCGGATAGCTTTATTAGCCTAACAATGACTATTTAAAGAGGCGAAAATCTTCACATATTATTTGCGAGCAAAGGTTGGAACAATGATAGTTTTGTCCGACTAAGTGTCAAGATGTCACAATTAAACTGCACCCATGCATGTAAGGCAGAGATAGGACTTGAAGACCAAATCTAATTTTAGTTAATGCTTCATTCTGGAGATCTGAATATGCTGGCAAATGTATAAAGCCCTGACACCCATTTCTTGGGGGAGGGGGGGGGGTGGACATGATAGCAAATCCCTAGACTTTTTGCTTAAGTTCCAAACAAGGCGCAGCTGACAATTTATCTCAGAATCTCTTCGACGATTCCTTCAATTCCTTTCCTCTCCTCCACCCCCTATTTTTAATCTTTCAGTGCAAAAATAGCAAAAAAATGCATGCGTTCAAGTTAAGGCATTGCATATACATGAAAGTATATATTTTATCTTATACATGCACATATTAAATACTCGAACCAAAGGACACGCTGATTTATGGGCACTTTCTTATTCCACTCCTATATTCCCAAGTATAACCCTCAACAGACCACTGTGCTGTTCCCCACCCCGCAAATACCCTTTAACTTTAATGCAGACGGGCGTAGACCCACTAGCAGGCGAGGCGTGGAAATTTTGGCATTTTTTTTAATTTTTGGAATTCTATGTGAAGCTCATAGTCTCATAGGACATTAAAATTTAAATTTCGTTATATTTTTAGTGGAAACTCTTACAAGTCTCATCAATCTATCATAGAATATTGGTAACTTGAGGATAACAAGCAATGAATATATTTTAAGCATGATCTCATCCACGAATTTGGGAATCAATTTATTGGAAAACAAACAAGGCATTTGGCTGTTACTTCTTATACTTCTTAAGAAACAACATGGATAAATCAAAGTTTTTAAGCCACCAGAAGCAAAAAATTTCTGATGTCATGACTGCAACGGCCGTCTCTGTTGAATCCCTCCCCCCTCCTCTAGACCCTATTTACTACCCTAATGGAATCCTTAACAGCTGCGTTCTTCCAGTTACCCACTTTTTATTTAAGTCTCATGGTTCTCCACTCAAACATGGTCAATAATAATAAGAAATTGTGAGAGATTTTACATTAAAATAATACGTGAAATGTGTCATTAAAGATCAACAATAATTCCACAAGCAAATTAAGGGGCGATTTCATTGGATTTACTCCCACTTTCAAGGTCAATCATCCTGAAGGGTTCTGTTTGTTTTATAGTTAATGCATTGTTCATTGAAATATAAATTCCAGCCTTTTGTTGTCATTATAGTAGTTTTTATGTAAATCATGATATTTTATATTTATATATATATATATATATATATATATATTTTAAATATTTTATATATATGCGTATATGCGCATATATATTTTAAATATATATATATATATATATATATATATATATATATATGCTTGTTAGGAGCGAAGCATGTAGGTTATAGGATATCTAAAACCCGTTGTTAATTTTGGAGGAAATAAAACAATGAGCGTTCTGAAAATGCATTCTCTGCGAATTTATTTGCATTTATTTAGTGTCTATTTCAAAGGCCTCACAAACTTTATTATCAAAGCTTCAGATAATTCAACGGGCAACTTGTGTGCATATTTCAAAAATTATCTTACAATTTACTTAATGATTTTCGAAAGTATTACTGTATCATATTATGTGTCTCAACATTGAAATGGGTTAAGTAAAGTCCAAAAGAGAATAATAGGGAATCATGAACAAAGTATCAAAAGAGAATGCAATTGAATTTTCGGAATTGTTCTAATACAACCCTCCCCTCCCCAATTTATTGCTGCTAAAATTCTTCCTTACTAAGCCCAGAACTTAAGGTGTTCGTTCATTACTTCTTTCAAATATGGAGCAAGCAACATAACCTTTCACGAAATAATCAATTCGCCAAAGCAGTAATACTTTCAGACTCACAATCTGCAATAAAATCAACTGGAAACAGAGAGCCACCCAAAATATCTGAGATATACGAATGTAATAATCTCTATCAGCTGCTGAGATAAAAAAAACAAGACAGTGGAAAACGCTATCAGCTGCTGAGATAAAAAAAACAAGACAGTGTTCCTACAATGGATTCCTGGTCACTGTGGCATTAAAGGCAATACGCTTGCTGACGCACTTGCTAAGAAGGGTGCAACGGTTTTGCAATGCATAGACCGGCCGATGTCTTTCCATGCAATGAAGGCCTCAATCAGAAGAGAGTTCAAGACCTCAAGGTGCAACGAACTTGAAGCTCGAACAAAGGAGAAACAGTGGACAGTGGCACTCTCCGACATACCCGACTGGCCAAGAATCGAAGCCGTTGCTGGGTTAAGACTACGTACCGGACACGATTGCTTGGCAAAACACCTTCACAGGTTGGGAGTATACACTCAACCCACTTGCCCCCTATGTAACCTACAGGAGGAAATGGAAAAAACCCACCTGATTCGGTGTCCAGCCCTAAAGACAACGACGGAAAGCCAGAGATACTGGGAAGCAAGAAGACTGCTAATGAACTGCTATATATGTACCCCCCCCCACCCATGGAGGAAGCTGAAGTCAAAGTTTAAGGGCTAATGATAAATATCATAAACACTCAGAGCAATACACCAAGAGGTTAATAGTCATTTAAGTGATTGGCTCTTGTCATCTAAAAATAATGCAAGATCTAGCTCAATCAAGGTTCTGATAATATAAGTATTTTGTATATTTAAATGGATCAAAAAGTTGAACGTTCAAAGATTTGAAAAGTTACAAGTAAATGAGCTGTATTAAATGAACGCATAAATTGATAAAATGATTTTTTGAATAATATGCCTCGATTCATGCATAAAAAATTTAAAATATTTGTTTTAAATCTACCTGGAAACTGTATTGAGATTCCGTTTCCCGATCGAGTTCAGATTTTATCGTCAAGTTTCCAGACGTTGGATCAAGATCGAAGTGCTTTTGAGCAGAGCCCTGGAAAATTAAAAGATTTCGGCAATGTAATAACTTTAACGAAATGTCCTGAAAAGATTTAAAACAAAAAGTTATTGTCATTAATTATTACTTTCCACTAGTGACACTCCTGTTTACATAAATGAACAAAAGCATTCGTATCAACGATCATTAAAGGTACGCGATATTTAGAAAGCAGATATATATATATATATTCCAAATGAATTCGTTTTATTTAAAATTAAAATCATTTTGTCATTATTTTGACGGTAAAATTGAACAACTAAATTACTATTATTGAGTAAAATTTTTATGAATATACACAAAAATACGAACTTCTATTACGATTAATAAGTAGTTACTTGAGAGAAAAATGAAATCTAAAGCTTAGTATCATTTAAATTAAAAAAGACTTCATTACGAATTTCAGATTTACTGATTGGTAAAAATATAACATCATTATTTTGCTGATTGAATTGGAATGGATATGGATGAACTCAATTGGCTTCTTTGTAAGAGTATAATTGGGCGAGATAAGGGTGAATTCGCTCGGACAAGTCAAAAATTAGTTTTGCCCATCAAGTGAAGAAATGCTTCTTGCTTTGTAACAGATCTACGCATATGAGCTGAAGTAGAAGGGAGGAAAGCAGCGGCTTTTATTTTCTTCCCAAAGTCGAATGACAGGAGATCACTCATTGAATCGATAAAAGTTGAATAAACTTCCAAATCTACGCAGTGAGCCAACTTTATGCGCAAATAAAGATGCAATCCAGTCATTCACATTTGAATTCCCACCTTCTTCTACCTCTTCGGTTATTTTTACGACCTCATTAATGCAAAAGAGCTATTTTCTTGAAAGCTTGTCTATTAAGGGTACGTTTTGTTAAAGAGGGGGAGAGGGGGAGAGGGGGGGGGAGTCAGTGTCCCTTAATTGCTCTGTTATTACAGACTTTGTTTTTAAAAAGATAAGAACAAAAAGTTTGCATCAAAACTCTGCGGCAATTTTGTTTTTTTTTTTGGCTTTGCTTGCTTTTGTGATTGTATTTTTCCTTTCCTCTAAAAAAGTGCTAAGGGAAATAAATGGCTTTCAAGGAGCCGAAGTTGCCGGAAAAAAACATTACTTACATTGATTATTTTTGTTGACATTTAATATTAAAATAATAGTGCTAAAATAAATAGCATGGAGTGATGTAAAGCTCTAATTTGGTCAAACCTGTATTGTCATTACTTGAAATAGGGTAAATGATATCTGAAAAGAATAATATAAAATAGTGCTATATTAAATTTATGTATAATTCCTTTTAAAGTAAACATTTTTATTAGTTCCAAAATGGTTGTTAACCATTCCATGAAAAAGTATAGAGGCCATAAAAGGCCGTTCAAATCCTTCTGTAAGAAGCTTGTATGAATGAATATGTATTACTGTCACACTATGCCATGCGAATTCTATTACGCAGGGTATCATTAGACAAAAAAAAGATGTCAACCTTTCGTGTCGTCTTCAATTTACTTAAATGAATATTAAAAGCTTTCCTTAATTGAGTTTGAAAAATAATAGAATTGAAAGTTAATTCCTTGCTTGCTTAAATGCGTGAGTGTTAGTCATAAATATACAGGGACAATAAAGGCTATTTATTTTGTTTACAACATTTATTCAATATTTAATTGAGTTAATATGCTTCAGATCATTGTCAAAATTTTAAGCATTTTGGACTATCCACATTGGTTGATTAGAAGAATAATTTCATTACAAATTTTGT